ATAAGAATATCTCTCTCTCTCTTTCTCTCTCTCTCTCTCTCTCTCTCTATATATATATATATATATATATACATATATATATATATATATATATATATATATATATATATATATATATATATATATATATATATATATATATATATATATATATATATATATATATATATATATATATATATATATATATATCGCGAGGTTAGAATTATTTTGTTCTATCTCCATGTTTTTCCGAATTGAGAAAATTAAATTCAAAGTTTTAAATGAACCTGCAGACCAAATAACATAAAAAACGCAAACAAAACCGATTTTTATCAATTTCCCATATAGGCTACCACAGTTTAAAAGAATTTGTTTTAAAATGTTTAAATTGCAGGTGTCTTATTAACTGCACCTTGATTTGGAGATAGAACAATGTAATACACACTTTTTTTGTAAAATACAGTATTATTTTGTTCTATCTCCATTTTGTGTAAAAAAACATATTACAAATTAACATATTGTTGCAAGATGAATTTATATTTTGTCAATAAAAGTACTCTAAGGTACATATTTGCTTTATTTGAAAAAAATTTTTATTTTACACAAGTGAACAAACTACATGAATACGTTATTTTGTCAAAACAGAGAAGATAAATAATATATTATCTTAAAATCTTTACAATGAAATAAAACTTAAGTTATAAATTCCAATTACATAACATCTAAAGTACATTGCACAGTAAAATGATATCTCAAATTAGGCAAATCAAGCATATCTGGTTAATCCATTAAAAATATAACATTTCAGAAAGAAGTCCATTTAACAACATAACATATAATACAAATATTTAGACAATAAAATAAATTATTTTAAAATACTTTTATAAAATGCAACGTCTACAGCAGACATATACTTGAACATACTTTTAAGGTCCTTGGCTTTATCACTTGAAATTTGAGCACACTGATTCAAGGCAGAAGCCATTGGTACAACTGCCAGAGGTCTTGTTATCACAGATGATAAAGAGCGCGGATTGTTAGGAAGACGCCTAATTCGTGCTTCTGAACAAACATCTGAAAACGACTTTCTGTAATATACATGATCTGAAAACTCTGCTCTGTAAACCAGATGCTTTATCTGGCTATAGGGAACAAGCTTAAAATTGAAATAGCTTGCAATAGCTGAAAAATGTTTGAAATCCAATCTTTTCAAAAAAGAATTTCTTCTTTGAACAGCAGAAACTGCTCTGGTTAAACCTAAAGGGCTTAATATTTCAAGAAGAGCAAGTGCTCTGTCAATTTGACTGTGGATATTGTCAACCTCTTGTATACTAGAATGTCCTGGTTCACAAAACTTTTTCTCAATTACTCTAATTTTTGGGTAACATATCAAAAACTGACGCAAGGCAATGGACATGTGACTATTTCTGTTTTGAGGGACACAGGAATCGAACCATAGTTTGAGTTTATTAACATCAGAGTGGTCTGCAATTATCTTTTCTAGCAAGCATGTTACACTACTTGCAAGATCATTGCCTGCACGACCCGAAACACCTTTATGCCAAAGCATACAATAACCTTTTTTATTTATGGAGCAATGCCCAGTTAAATTATAAGCTGAAAGTTTTCGTTTGTAAAAAAATGATCCCACATTTGATTTTGGTAAACTTATTACATTTTCAAGGTCAATACATACTACAGCAACATTTTTATCTATAATTTTGCGGTCTTTATCTTGTTCTGCTTTAGTTTCATTCTTAGAAATAATGTGTTTGGTAAACTTTTGGGTTTGTTCCTCAGTTGGATTTACTAGATTGCGGTATTCATAGCATGTATCACATAAATCAGTTTTTGGCTTCTGAAATTCAATGTTAAAGTGATGATTAAATATGAATCTATACAAATGCTTCTTAACAGGGGCAATATTCTTTTCTTCACAATAGGTTAAGTAAAGTTCATACATCTTATTAGAATTTAAAAAAGCTTCAAAATATTCTTTTTCTGTTCTTTGACGACAGTAGTGTAATGGAACACGTGGAAATGCATTGATATGATCTGTAACGCTTTGTTTTGATGATTGATCTATAACCATTTTGGTGTGTTTCCCCCATTTTGAAAGGGCTGGGCTTCCAGTAGTATCATTTTTTTTCATGATGATAATAAACTCTTCTACTACTTATATTTAAAGTTGTGAGGTAAAATTCTTTACAAACTCGAGTTTGCAAATCACCAACAAAAAAGCTATAATAAAATGAATACGCTTTTCGCGAATTTTCATTGATGGTTCGATGACGTTTCTTCTGAAGTCGTTCAGTGGTTCGACTGTAGAAATGTCTCTTTTGCATGTCGTCCATAGACCAAAAATCAGCAAATATACGTGTTCTTTCTTCATCACTAATATTTTGTGCGCATCTGAATTTACAAGACTTTAGACAGTCTTTCTTTTTGGTTACAGACTTGCATGGAACATTTTCTCCCTTTCTATTTTTATAAGGCTGACCAGATTTACTTAGCTGCTTTCTCACATTCTGTGCCCAAGTTTTAGGTGCTGACTTTCGTTTCCTAGTTTTTCCCCCATGTGGGGGCAGACGACGAGCTGTTGTTATTTCAGGTGTATCATTATGATAGCCAAGAACAGTCAGATCAGTTTCTGAAACGCAGTGGCTACGGGTACGTCTAGACGTATCTTTAATAAAAAAGTTAGAGATACGACCAAAATTTGGGACGCAAAAGAGCATTTTGTTAAACTTTAATCTTAAAAATTGCTTAGAAATCAAAGATTTATGTTAACAATGGCTTTGAATGTTGGTGATAAGTTCAACTCTTTAAAAGTGTTAGAAGAAGCCATAAAGTACTATGAAGTAGAATTTAGCGTTTCTTTATATAAACGAGAGAGTAGATCCATTGCATCTGCAAGAAAAAAGGCATCAAGCGAACCTTAAACGGCGATTTATTGTTTTATAGCATGCATTATGCATGCTATCAAGGAGGGAAAAATTTTAAAAGTCGATCAAAAGAAAATATTTCTACCGCGCACATGTTGTTTTCATTAATAATTCACCTAAATTTTTCTATACGTCAAAAGGTTTCGACTTACCTTTACCTTTTGTTTGTTAAGAATAGGTATAAATATTTCTACCGCGCCCGAATGTTTAGACGTATCCTTAACATTTTCTGTTAGTAATATATCTAAACCTTCCTACCGCGTCCGTAAGATTGGACGTATCTTTAACTTTTCTTGTTAGGAATACGTCTAGACGTATCCGTAGCCACTGCGTTTCTGAAACAAAAACAAAAAAAGTATACATATATATATATATATATATATATATATATATATATATATATATATATATATATATATATATATATATATATATATATATATATATATATATATATATATATATATATATATATATATATACATATATATACATATATAATGTGAACAATAACATATTTTACATTCAAAGTTTTGTTGTTGTTTTTCTGTAATAAAAACTTCCGCAGCTGCCATTTTGACGTAAATAACTTTTGATTGGATAAAATGGAGATAACAACATTATAATTTTAATTTAAAAACAGGATTAAGGAGATAGAACAAAATGCAATGTCAGGTATAGTATGTTAATTTTTTTTTTTTACTGATTTTTTTGTAAAAAATAAATACTTTATCTATGAAAAGCAAAAAAATTAATCTAACTCAATTTTTTTGATTTGTGGAGATAGAACAAAATAATTCTAACCTCGCGATATATATATATATATATATATATATATATATATATATATATATATATATACATATATATATATATATTATATATTTTATATATATATAGTAATAGTAATATAGTAATATATTTAAATAAGTCTTTATAGATTACATGACAAATAAATAAAAAAACAATCTAATAAACAGATTAAAAAAACAAAAGAATTTTTTTTTTTTTTTTTTATTATTATTATTATTATTATTTTTATTATTATTATTTTTTTTTCTTATTTATTATTATTATTATTTTTTATTTTTTATTTATTTTTTTTGCTTTCGTTTAATTACAGTTTACGTTTATGACAAATGTACCTAAAAAGTCAATATTTGTAGCTGCTAAGGCACGAATTAATTAAATTAAACGTGCAGCTCATCTTCAGTAAAAGATGCACTGTTTGCAGCTGTAGGAAAAAAATACTTGTCAATTCTACTTTTGAATGCGTTAATTGACGGAGCCTTTTTGCATGACAACGGTAAATAATTCCAATCATTCACAATACGATTTGTGAAGAAATTATGTCGAGCATTATTGTTAGTGAAATCACGCGTTAGTACGTTGGATGGTGATCTGCGAAGAGGTGGATTATGCCAATTAATAATTTCAAAACCCTTTTTAAGTTTAAACTGTTGGATCAAGTCGCCGCGTCGCCTGCGAGTTTCCAAAGAAGTAAAATTGAGACGCCGACACCTTTCAGCATAACGTAAACTTGTTATATCATGAGGAATTTTTGTTGCTTTGTGCTGAATTTTTTCAATTTCTTTGATGTCGCCCTTTAAGTAAGGACACCATACCGGAACAGCAAATTCCAGGTGCGGCCTAACATATGTAGTATATAGTCTACCCCAAAGCTTAGTATCTCTTGATCTAAATGTTTTTTTTAGTAGGCCAAGTATCATATTTGCTCTACGTGTCGCAACCTGTATGTGTTGATTCCATTTTAGATCGTTAGATAAAAAGATACCCAGGCCTCTTTCAATATCCGTTGCCGCTATAATAAGAGATGTATTACCATCATTCATTACATATTCATGATTTATATTTCCATGACCAAAGTGCATAACTTTACACTTTGCAACATTTAATTCCATAAGTCATTCTTTTGACCACTCTGAGATAATGTTTAAATCATTTTGAAGAATCAGACAATCAGCATCGTGAAACTCAGGTCTTATTTCTTGCAACAGTTTAGTGTCATCAGCATAAATTTTATGAACTGATTTTAAATTATCCGTTAAGTCGTTATGTAGATGATAAATAATGTTGGACAGACCCTTGTGGAACTCCGCTTAAAACATCGGTCCAGTCGCTAGAGTGATTACCTAAAACTGTTCGTTGTTTTCTGCTCTTCAAAAATGACTCAATCCATTTGCCAACATTACCATTGATCCCATATGCTTTCAATTTATATATTAGTCTACGATGAGAAACTTTATCAAACGCTTTTGCAAAGTCCAAAAATGCAATATCGACAAAATTTCTTTTGCTTAACGCTTTTGTAATGTAGTCGATACTTTCCAATAAGTTAGACGTGCATCCCTTTTTGGACATAAATCCATGTTGATTATTTGAGATGCAGCTCGTTTTTTCAAGATGTTTAGTTATCTGTTCCTTGATAATCTTTTCCATTACTTTACATGGAACTGAAGTGATAGACACTGGTCTATAATTAGCGGCATCAAGACGACTCTCTTTTTTAAACAATGGTGTAACATGTGACTGCTTCCAGGCTAAAAGTGTTGAGCCTTCAGACAGTGCTTTATTGTAAATTAATGTTAGAGGGTAAGTCATTTGAGCTGCACATTCTTTAAGTACCTTTGGACTAATTTTATCAACACCAATAGATTTGTTCGGGTTCAAACCATTCAAATAGGCTAGCGTTGCTTCAAAACTTATTATTACATCGCCTAAGTCTTCTTGATTATGTCTTCTCTCAAAAACCGGTAACTGATCATTTATGCTATCATCAACAAAAACTGATTTAAAGTGTACGTTAAGTCTGTTTGCGATATGTATTGCCTCTGTTAACGTTTCACCTTTTGCATCTGATATAGCGCCAATAGATACATGTACGTTCTGTTGCGCTTTAGCATAAACATGCATTCTTTTTGGATTATTTTTATCTGATGCCAGTTGGGCTTCAAATACTCGAACACGATGTGTACATGCTTTCTGAACTTGGCTTCTTAGTTTCTTATATTCACAAATGAGGGTCGATGATCCCCAGTTTGTCATAGATAAGTAATTGCCCAGTTGTTGTTTTTTCTTTATCATAGCTAATACTTCCTTATTCATCAACGGTGCATTACGAGTAGAATGGACTCTTTTTAACGGGATGAATTGCTTGCTGAGTTTATCATATTTATTGCAGAAAAGTTCATAGCATTCATTAGTGTTTTTATTTTCAAATAATTGCTGCCAGTTAGTTTCCATAATCTTTTTACCGAAGTTTTTATAGTCACCCTTATTAAAATAATATTTTTTGTTTGAGAAAGTTGTCCTATTTTTAGAGAGGACGACATAATCCCAACTCAATATGCGATGACGTTGTGACAAATCACCTAACGGCATAGAGCTAGATAAATTGATTACTCTAGTTGAAGAGTCTGTAATAATTAAATCCAAAACATTTTTTGCATTTCCATTAGATGCTTCGAAGGTTGAGAAATCAACTAATTGTTCTAGATTATGATTAGCCAAAGTTACAAGAAAAACACTTGCAGCACTATTTTGACAGCTTAGTAATTCAATTCTTTCGTCATTATGCCATTTAATATCCGGAAAGTTGAAATCACCTGCTAATAACATACAACTATACACTTTTCTATCAACAGCTTGCTTAGCTGAAATAATTGTTTTATTTATATCATCTATATGGGATAGGGGTGGTCTATAGACCAAATCTAAAGGGTTTGTCAAGTTTTCCAAGCTTGTCAAGGTCAGAATTAGCTGCTTTTCTTTCTAAGTTTAATTTAATAAATTCGCTTTGCTCTGCTGCTGTGCGGTCGGGGCGTATAAATATATCTTTAAAAGTACCCGATGCCAGTTGTTTAGCCGATGCTAGAACGTCATTTCTGATGAATACTGAATCAACTTCAATCATAAGAGGAGCGGGTTTACTAGAATCAAAGTTCTTTTTTTTTTTGAAACGTTCAATTCTAACTACATCGACTGATTTACTTAAAGATGCCATAACCTTCTTGAATTCGCGGTATCATCTTTGGTTATCTCGCTTGGTTGAGTTTTAACAGATTCTAGTAGACCAAACACTACAATTCTCTTTCCTCTGTTAGCCACGTCCTTGTTATGCTTATTGAGGGCGCTCACTACAGCTACGTTTGCTAATGTACCGGGCTTGCCGACTTGTTCAACTAATTTAGATAACAAAGGTTTTTCACTACTTTTACTATCTTTTAAAGACTTTATTTCAATATCCTGCAGATCAATTCTATTAGTAAGTTTGTCAATTCTGGCGGTAAGTGTTTTAATTACATTAAGAGCTTGTTTCAGCTCTTCTTTGGCAATTTTATCAGCGCTTTCAAGAGCATCATTAAGCTGTTTTTGCGTTACCATTATTAGCAATTAACAGTGGAAGCGATTTTAAGGTTTATAGGTTATAAACGAATTTAAAGTTATAAATGAATTGCTTTTAACTCGATAAATCCTCAGAAATAATTTATACCCGTGAAGTTTAAATATTAGTAAAAAAAAAAATGTAAATATCTTATTACACAGGGAATAAAAATTTTGTAATACGTGTTTATGTGTTTACATATAACAATAGTTTTTCCGTATATAATTATATATATAAATATATATATATATATATATATATATATATATATATATATATATATATATATATATATATATATATATATATATATATATATATATATATATATATATATATATATATATATATATATATATATATATGTATATATTATTTTTCCGTATATAATTATATAATATAAATATATTAATAATAATTGTCACAATTACAAGAACACACAAAGGTAGTTATGTGTTGAAAAATTAATCCGAAAACAAACAACAGATTAAGAACCAGGTGCAAACGCGACTTTATAACAATATATAAATAGAATATATATATATATATATATATATATATATATATATATATATATATATATATATATATATATATATATATATATATATATATATATATATAAATAGAGTTAAAACTCGTTAAAAACTTTTTAAATATAATATAATGTAAGCGTAAATAGGATCTTCGATGAGATAATGATTTTATTATTTAAATTTATATAAATATATAAATATAAATAATAAAAAGCAGCTATATAATATATAGCTGCTTTTTATTATTTATATTTATATATTTATATAAATAAATATTTTAAATAATAAATTTAAAATATTTATTTATATAAATATATAAATATAAATAATAAAAAGCAGCTATATATTATATTCAGTTACTATGTAGTTAATTCGGAGCGATTGACTTCGAACTGATTGTAATATAGTAGAATAATAGGTAATGAATATTAATTTGAAAGTATATAAGATATATGATAGAAGAAGAAAAAAAGAAAAGAAAAAAAAAAAAAAAAAAAAAAAAAAAAAAAAAAAAGAGAGAACAATTGAAAGAAAATAAAAAAGAACTCGAAACTTACGACCAAATAAAACGCGTCTTAACTACTCTAGTCTTGAAGAATGAATTTATACATATATATATATATATATATATATATATATATATATATATATATATATATTATATATATATGTATATATATATATACATATATATATGTATACATATATATATATATAATATATACATATATATATATATATATATATATATATATATATATATATATATATATATATATATATATATATATATATATATATATATATATATATATATAGCCAACATCGAACAATGCTAAAAAGTGTTTCTAATTTTACATATTTTAAGAACAAAACGAACTATACACAGCAAACAGTTCAGGAGTCTAGAGTAATAGCATGCCATAACAAGAGTAATTAGCTGACAGGTGGCAGTACGCAGGCAGAATTTTGTTGACAAGTGGCATTTTGCAGCGGACAAACAACTGCAACTTTTTTGATTTGTTTCATTTTCTTTAGTCTGGTCCGTTTCAACGTCACGGAAGTTTTTTAATAATTAAAGAAAGTATCCAGAAGTTTCCAGAAGCATGCAGAAGCTTCCAGAAGTTTCCAGAAGTTTTTTATGACTTCATGTGCAAAAATGGCTCCCGACTGTCTTGAATTGGAACTAAGAAAGAAAATTATTGGCGATTACGTAAGTGGAATGTCACAAAAAAGTATTTGTGATAAATATCGCGTGAAAAAATGAACCGTATCAAGACTATGTTCCAAATATCGTTCTACGGGGAAGTTGGCAGCAGCTAACAAAGGTGGAAGACCGCGTTCCAGCATTTCTAGAGAGGATTCTATGATTATCAGATCCGTCAAGAAGGATCCCTGGATATCATCAGTCAAAATACAAAAGCAATTAGAGCTGCCTGTATTGGATCGAACAATCAGACGACGTGCTGTTGAAGCCGGATTGTTTTACCGCCGCCCTGCAAAGAATCCGCTGATTTCACAAAGAACCAGAAGAAAAGACTTCTGTTTGCAAAATCTCATATTGACTGGAATGTGCAGAAATGGCGAGCTGTCCTGTTCAGTGATGAATTGAATTTCAACATCATTGGGAGCGATGGCATTTGCCGTGTACGTCGACCGGCCGGAAATCGCCTCATTTTACGTTACTGCCATAAAACCGAGAAGCATGGTGAAAGCAATGTAATGGTCTGGGGCTGTTTTTCTGCTAACGATCTAGGTCCAATACATCAAATCAATGGAATATGGACCGTTTCATGTATAAAAAATATCCTCAAAGATGTTGTGTTACCTCATGCTGAATGGAATATGCCAATAAAATGGGTTTTTCAGCAAGTCAACGATCCGAAATAGACTACAAAAGTAGACAAGCAGTGATTTCAAGACAACCACCTATTGGTGATGAAGAAATTCCACAAAGTTTCATTGATCACCTGATTGAATCTATGCCTCGAAGATGCAAGGTTGTGATCGACAACAAAGAATTCGCCACGAAATATTGATAGCAAAATACAGCTTGGTCAAAATTTTTTTGGAGTTGCACTAGTTTTGTCCAGAAGGAAATCAACTTTTTGTAATACTTTTGATTAATTTATTAATTTTTGTGTACAAATAAAGTACTTTGTGATGAATAAAACTAAACAGTTACATAGTTATTTCTTTAAATTGAAAAAATGCAGCACTTATATAAAGAAACTAAATTAGCATTATTTGGTTGCATTTGTCTTGTCCGATACTGTATATATATATATATATATATATATATATATATATATATATATATATATATATATATATATATATATATATATATATATATATATATATATATATATATATATATATATATATATATATATATATATATATGTATATATATATATATATGTATATATATATATATATATATATACATATATAGTTACTTTAAAAAGAAATTATAGTTGTATTATATTTGGTTACTTACTTCATCAACTATCTTATCTTTTGTCTCCTCTAATTCTCAAGCAATAGGACATTTAAATGAATACCCTCGGGAAGGGTAAATCAACATTTTTCAATCTAGGGTTAGAAAAATATGATTGGCAATAATATTGTTCTTCATGGTACAAGGCACTACAAAAAAATTTACTATGCATAAAACTAAACGCATTGTTGTCCCAAATTTCTTTCATTTTCGTGTAAAGCATTAAATATTTATTACGGTCGTCGTAGCAATACCTTTCTCAATACAATTAACCGATTTTCTATTTTGGGGGTAATTTAAATGATAAAATATTTTTTACCCTTTTAAAGTAAATTATTTTATAAAAAAACAGCATTTTAGAAAAGTTACTTAGACAGTTAACAGAAAATTAAAAGTTACCTACTGTAACTAGGTGCTTCTGGTAACTTGGTACTATTTAAAATAGCTTTTAATAAGATTTAGATAATCAATAACTTTAAATCCGTTTTGTTTAGTTTTTTTAAGGCAAAACGTTTGATTGGTTATCATTTATAATAAACAACCTAGTAACGACTGAACTCAGCTGAGCTCAATTTGGCCTTAATGTTTTATATGCATACTAGAGTGGTATTTAGAGCTGATCAATGTGCTGTCTAGTATTTTTTTGCTTGAGTAAACAAATATATTGAAATAAATTGAAAATTTTGAAATAAATTGAAACTAATATATTGAAATAAATTGAAAAATATTTGAAAACTTAAATATTGATATTTCCGTGTTAAAAATGATATACTGAGCCTAACATTTTTAGAGTTCATAAAGTTCTTTTAAATAATTTAAAATATTTGATTGTATTTTATATTTTATTGTTAAGCAAAAAAATGGAGGCTTTTGTTATTTGTTGATGTTTACAGAGTTTCTGGTATAGATTTTTTTTTTAATATGAAAAACATGCTATATTGTCTTTTTTTTTTTTTTTTTGGTTAATGATTTTAAAGTGTTTATAATTGTGTCTTCTTTGAATAATTTCAAAATACATTTTTTTTTGTTTTCACGCAAAATTTTAAGGTTTCTTCACACTAACTGTTTCATTTAAATTTTGCGTTTGATTTTAAACATGATGTAACTTAAAATATTTACGAAATGCGGCTCAAATTTAAAAGTATTTTTATCAAAACAATTGTTTAATAAAGATATTTGCTATAAATGCTAAAAAATAAACTGCTCAATAATACTATGTAACACAGCTTTTGTTCCTGGCTTCTAAGTGTTATATTTCAATTGCTTATGTCTAAAGTATGTCAGAAAAATGACTTTATTAAGCACAAACTTTGCCTGCGCGAGAACAGCACGAAGAAAATTCGTTTTTTTATGAAAATACAATAATTTTGTTTTATTTTTGCAATTAAGATCAGTTAAAAACAAAAATTGCAGAAGGAATAGACTAACACAGTCGGAAACTACTCAACAAGGCTCAGAAATAATTAGATTTTCTAGATTTACGATTGTTCTGTAAATCACTCACTCAAAGAAAGACCCAAAATGTAGTCCTTCATCATGTTTTCGTTACACTGTCTTTGGTAAAGATCTTCAAAGTCCAATATATCTGGATGAAAGCGCTTGCCTCGCTCCTCGGAGTAAGCGTCTATGTACTCCTTGAATTTTTCGAGATGCGAATCGAGGTTATACTCTTTCAGAGAATTAAGGATATGGACACAGAGCCGTCCCAAAGAGGGGTGTAGGGGATGTCCCACCCCCCGAAGCTGTCATTTAAGCATTTGAGTTGACAAATTAAGCAACTATAGTATTAAATTGCAAATATTGAGGACCTTTTTTTATTTTTATTTTTTTATTTTGGTGTTTCTAGTCGGCAAAAAAATACATACACCCCCTCCCCCGATAGAAGACCTCTTCGGGACGGCCCTGTATGGACATTCTGCATCCCATTTTAGAGTAGTTATTTATAAGAATCTGCACAACT